AAGTCAAGAAACAACCCAAAAAAACCAACTTCGAAGAGCGATTTATTCCAAGTTTTGAAGCAAGAGTGGGCAAAAATCCCACAATCTAAAATTGACGAGATAATTCTCACGATGCCCCAAAGGATCAACGAACTCCACGAAGTGAAAGGAAGATCTACTAGATATTAATTAAATTATAAATATATCAATTCATGTGAATATGACTGAAAAATTTCATTTTTTCTGAAAAGATGGTGTCTATTTACTTGTGACCACACTGTGTGTATATATATATATATATGAAAATTTACCATTTTGGATAAATTATAAGAGCATTGTAATATCTGTGCTATTTATATTTCTCTTAACTTTATGAAATAGAAAGTGAAGCACATTTCTGTCATGAATTATTATTCTTTGCCAGTAAATGTTAGAGAAAGAATTTTGTATGGTTTCAATAAATCGTATAACAACAAAAAATTAACTTTATTTGAAAAGCATTATTGTTTATTCTCTGAAATTGTGCAATTAACTAAAAAGTTTCTCACTTTTTATTCAACGGTACCTCGTTATTTTGTGCTTTCTAACACATTAGAAAACATACTTGATTTGTAATCTTGTACTTTCTAACACAGTAGAAAACATACTTCATTTGTAATCTTGTGCTTTCTAACACAGTAGAAAACATACTTCATTTGTAATCTTGTGCTTTCTAACACAGTAAACATACTTCATTTGTAATCTTGTGCTTTCTAACACAGTAGAAAACATACTTCATTTGTAATCTTGTACTTTCTAACACAGTAAACATACTTCATTTGTAATCTTGTGCTTTCTAACACAGTAGAAAACATACTTCATTTGTAATCTTGTGCTTTCTAACACAGTAGAAAACATACTTCATTTGTAATCTTGTGCTTTCTAACACAGTAAACATACTTCATTTGCAGAAGGTTTTGTTTTTCTCTCTCCAGGGTAAGAAAACAGTGAAAACCTTGAAAGCTCCTAAAAGATTGGAGTTTCATTTGAACAAACACATAAATAGAGCAATAAAGCAGGCACATGAAGAGTTTCAGGTACAAGTAAGTGTTCGTGAATTGTGCTATTCATATGCTTTATTTGACAAATACAGAAACATTTCATCTGAAAACACGTGAAAGGAAACTTCAGTGACTGTTTATACGAAATCTTTGGTGTGAGTGTTTATTGGAAACCTTTGGTGTGCCGACATCATTCATGACCAAAGTCACGAGACAGCTCAATTACACAACAGAATAAATGATGTGTAAAATATAAACATATTAATAGTTAACAACAAATGAAGGAATACCACCTGAAAGCAGAAATGCAAGGTGCAATTCCTCTTACACAAATTCATAACTTTCAGAATTGTGTATCTTTAAACACATATTGAACGCTATTATGATTACTTCAAAGCTTGTGAGGTTATTGCTTCAGCTCATTCATATCTCCTATATGGTTACTTCAGAGCTTGTGAGGTTATTGCTTTAGCTCATTCATACCTCCCGTATGGTTACTTCAGAGCTTGTGAGGTTATTGCTTCAACTCAATCCTATCTACTTTATGGTTATTTCAGAGCTTGTGAGGTTATTGCTTCAGCTCAATCCTATCTACTTTATGGTTACTTCAGAGCTTGTGAGGTTATTGCTTCAACTCAATCCTATCTCCTTTATGGTTACTTCAGAGCTTGTAAGGTTATTGGTTCAACTCATTTCTATCTCCTTTATGGTTACTTCAGAGCTTGTAAGGTTATTGGTTCAACTCATTTCTATCTCCTTTATGGTTACCTTTGAGAGGTTATGAAGTTAATTGCTTCATCCAAAAATGATCACCTTTATGGTTACTTTTGAGCGGTTGTGAGACTAACTCTTTCCATATGGGATTGGTCAATGTGACCAACCTTGTAACCCCAAAGTAAACATCAGAGGATATAACTTCTAATATTGTATCTTTACAAGATTTGACAGGCTTTCAGTAAACATTATTAAGTTAGATTTTTAATTAAACATTTTTGCTAAATATCTGTGAATATATAGAGTCAGAATGTTGACTGCTCCTTGTGTGAAATGATTTTCATCTAAGATGAAAAATACTTTCCTTCATCTGGAAATTTTTAAATTTCATTTGTGTAACCTCTAAAACCTCTTAAATAAATATCACACATTTTTGTTTGTTTTTTCATTTAAGTTTTATATTTTATATGTTATTTTCTGTACCCTAACTCTATGTGGTTTCAGTTGATTTGGCCGACTTTGTAATCACCATAAAAAAGTATGAGATAAATCTAAGTTACTCTTTTTTCTTTCTTTTATGACTGCAAATTGTAAAGAGAAACCACATTCGTTTATCCTAAATAGCTTAAGGCATTTATAGCTTACATCTGTTTCTGCTTAATTGTCTTGCTTTATTGCCCTTTAAACCATGTGAGTAATAATCCTGCCATACAAGTTGTAAATCACTTGGTGAATGCATAGCTCAAGTTACCATATTGAATGATGTAATGCATGAGCTACTCGTGAGTATACCTCCTGAAGAATTATTATTATTCAGTATCTAACCGTATCCAACCTAATAAGTTTATAATACTCACATTTTAGTTACTTTAATAACAATAAATAAAAAATATATGTGCTCTTGGTTGCCGATGAAATTTAAGCTTACTTTTTTTATACTGATGATACTTGTACGCTAAATAGTTTTTATTTGCTTAAATAATGCAGCTAAGAAGACAGAATAATAACACACAGAAAGCAAACAGTATCCTATAAGTATTGTAATTTAACTGGCTTTTTAACTGTGGCATAAGAACCTTAAAATAATTCACTAAGTTTCTCGATCTGAATACTACAAGAAAAACCTTCAAACTGAAAGCATTGTAATATAATACATCATTTAGTAGATTAAAACTTTGCCTTTCTGTTGGTTATAAATGGTGTAATATAAAATGTCAGAGGGAATTATTGGCAGTTTGTGAAAGAAAGGACATGACAGGTAGGTGTGGCAAGTGTCTCTGACTTTCTAGTTTATGGCTCCATAAACAAAGAAGATTGAAAGCTATAGAAATTAGACTTTGCCGTAGTAATATCTATATTATAATGAGTAACTTACATTAAACTCCATACTTCAGAGATGGGTGGTAAATAAACTAGAGAAGGTGGAAGACCTAGAGAACAAATGTCATGATGCTCATACAAAGGGAGATTAAGGATTTTTTTAAATATTTTCTTTTGAAATTAACATAATTAAAAGTTATATTAAAATCTTATTTAGAAACTACGTTTTGATGCCAAGTTATTTGTATACATTGATGATAAAGTAGTTTGTTTAAAACTGTAAGTTGTTTAATTACATTTTGAATGTAAATCTGTAAAAGGTCATGACATGCATGCTTTAACCTACCTGTAGCAAGAGGGTTAATGCTTCATCCCTAAAATAACTCACTTACTTTCAAACTTTTATGTTGTATATGAATATATCAATCATATGTACACAAGTATGGGCCAAAGTGTGCGTCACATCTCTTACAGATTTACATTTAAAATGTAATTAAACTTGGCATCAAAATTTAGTCTATAATTTAAGATTTGATATTATATAAGCTTTGTTTTCTTAATTTAAAAAGGAAATATTTAAATAAATTCTCAATTTTCATGTGATGCCTCTCTTCTCTGAATTTTCCATTTTAGATATTTCTCTCTTCCCTTATATGGGTTTTTATTTTTATCATGAAAATCACCTTGCACTGACACTAGTCAGACTGAATAAAGTAAGTTCAGAGACAAATCTTTAGTAAAAATACTTTATTAAAAATTCTGCTATTTTGTGTACAACATACTTGTAACATTTACTAAAAGCTTGTTAAGTTTCGTTTTGAAAGATTAGATAAATTTGGAGTTACAGAATTTATAGTAAATATTAATTCTCCAATATGGGCTCGGTTCAATGGACTTATCTTTTGCAGGTACGGTTAAGTGTGTTGACTTCAGTTATTCTGCTGGTGTTCTATTCTTTCTCATCATTGGCTCATTTTTACCTACATTTTCCCTGGTTACTTCCTGTTCATTGATTATAGTATTATCTTAAACATTTTGTAGTTTAAGACATTATAGCCTAAATGTTATTTAATATATCTTGTGTATTTGTAGTTTCTGTTGTCAAAAAATGTGCTTAGAAACTCCTGAAGGTTGCTTTTATGAAAGATGAACTTTTAACCAATTGTTTTTTTATGTATGTGCGTGTGTGTGGGGGGGGGGGGGGTATTGGATTATCTTTTGTAGAAATTTTTAAACCTTTTTCTCAGTTCAGATATATCACTGTGTATTACCTGTTCCTTTATCTAAATCTTTGAAGGTCACTAATCTATAAAACATGGTGTTTTTTGTTTTTTTCTTTGGCCCATATTAGAAGTGCAAGATGACAGATAGGCAATAATTCAGTAAACATTCAACACAAAACTATGGGAATCATGACATCTTTATGTGCCGTGATACATGTTCCCTGTGTGCCATTATAGTATTACACTTTGAATCATAGGTAGTTTAGATTAATATGTCAGGAAAATAAACCACTGTAGTAGTGTAGCTTTCTTTACTTGAACAACATACCCCCTGTCCTTTTTAAAAAAAAAGAGTTGTGTGCAATATCACATAAAGATTTGTTTGGGAGGATCGTGCTCATTATTACATAAACATCTGTTGGGAAGGATCATGTGTAATGTTATATAAACATCTGTTAGGGGGGGATCATGTGTAATATATAAGCATTTGTTAGAGAGAATTATGTGTAATATTATATAAAAATTTGATATGAAGGATCATGTGTAATATATAAACATTTGTTAGGAAGGATCATGTGTAATATTATATAAACATTTGTTAGGAAGGATCATGTGTAATATTATATAAGCGTTTGTTAGGAAGGATCATGTGTAATATTATATAAACATTTGTTAGGAAGGATCATGTGTAATATTATATAAACATTTGTTAGGAAGGATCATGTGTAATATTTATAAACATTTGTGGGAAACATGTGAAATACATAGAAATATTGTAAAACTATGATGTGTCTTTGAAAACATCTCAATGATGCACAAAACTACAAAAACACGTATTTACAAACTGTAATTTAAGAATAATTCTGTAACAATAAAGTTTTTAATGGTAACCTTTAATAGGGATATTTATTTACAATCATTGCCTTTTCCTGCAGGCAGCTGATGTTTTTTGTCATCATGGAATCTTTACACTTTATGGAAAGGATTTTCTACGTCCTCACAACTTTCATCCTCAAGCATTTTTCCAGATAGCTCTGCATTTAGCCTACTACAGGCTTCATGGACAGTAAGATATTTTTCAGTGAAACTTACTGTTTAGTATTATATTTTGTGCAGTCATATGCTAAACAAAAAGAATGAGGTGTCTTTTGTAGCTTGTATGCTCGATTATGAAGAACTTTAAGATAGCTCTTCAGATCAGAAGTGCAATAATTTAAAAGTAACTTTCACATTAGTGAAGACAATACTGTATAAAATACTAACAAAAAAATACTTAATGTTATAAATTGATGCACCAGAAAAACTAAAATGAATAGTGATTAGATTGACTTGATCACTGCTATAGTGGGATCATCAAAGCAAGGAAAGACTACACTAAAAAAAGCTGTAGGGTAAATTCTTTGACACTGTTGGTTACAACTACACAGAGTGCATTTAAGCCATAATAGCTGTGCAGTTTAATTAATTATATATGGCTTTCATTCTGTTTTTATTTTACTGAAAAGGTCTTGAATTCTTCTTTTGAACAGACTTATTCTGGTATTTACAGGGATGAAAATTTACCACTGTTTAGCAGTTCCCACGTTTTTTAAGCATGCTACTGACCATTTACAAAAGTGATGCAACTCTGATGAGAAAAAGTTTGCAAATGAAATTCTCTCACACATTTGATGGGAAATCACTTGTTACAAGTTCCTGAAGTAAACATTGCTGTCTGAATGTCTGCTTGGCCAGTGGCATACAAACTTTCTAAATTCAGATTAGCTCAGCTTGTTGTATTACAACCATATTAAAACTAGCACCTTTGTATTGTTGTCGCTTATGTTTTGAGATAAAAATACTGATGAAAGTCAACAAAGAAATGCAAACAAGGTGAGAGAGATTGACATTGTCTTCATGGAAAAATTCTGCTGGTTGTGGTTTGGCAAAGTAGGAACACTTAATGAAACTACTTTGTTCGCAATGCATGTCAATAAACTTGGCATTAAAACATAGTTTATAATCTAATTGTTTATATTATCTAAGTTTTAATTTCAAAAGGAAATATTCAAATAAGTTCTTATTCTTCACTTTCCCTCTTAGCTCTGAATTCTCCATTTTATATTTTCTTTATTTCCTTATATGGGTTGCAGGTTTTCCATCAATTAGATACATAAAGTATAGATACTAAAAAACCAGAATATAAAATAAGAACCTCCCGCCTTCTTTATATTCTGAGATATCAATAAATTTATCACACCACAGAAGTATCTCCCAACTCTTCATGCTTTTGAAATCACTCCTTTGCTCACACCAAATTGTCAATGTACATATTTATAGCCAACAGAAAGGCCATTTTGTGGTTGTGATTCTGACAATAACTTGTTTTGTTTTCCTGATGAAAGCCCCTATTTTACAAATAGCTCTTGATGTATGTACATTGAAGTTGGTGCTCCAAAGAGAAATGAAATATGTTTGACCTATTTATAGCTTAGTTAGAAAGCCAGATAAATTATAGTTTGGGGAAATTCCATTATACTGCCATATATATTTTTTGTATTTTTAAATGTATGTTTTAAAGCTACATTAATTATTTTTGGACAACAAACATAATTACTAAAGAGAAGGCTTACAAAAGCAGTCATCTGAGTGCAGACAAGCCTAGGGTTAAGGTAAGTGCTAAATTTCTTGTTTTTTTTTATATTTTTTATTCATTATTAAATATTTTATTAACAAAAGTAACTCAGATGTAAACGTTAAAACTTATTAGCTTATACAAGGAAACTAAACAAAAACTAAGTAAAAAAATAATTCATCACTCGACAAAGGAATGCACATAGTTAGATGTATGATGTAAATTTTGCTTACACTAAACTCTCCACACTCCCACTGGGTAATTTATTGCTTATTGAGATAGTTAAAGACAGTTCAAAGAGCAGTAAAATTAAATTAAAGCAGTTGTGAAAAGTTAAGAGGCCTAAAGCTCATAAGATAAATTATCGTAATTGTCTGTTACAATCTGTGGTTACTCTAGGGAAAAAAAAGTATTTTTGATCTTATTTCATACTTTTAACCTTTTCATTCACATACATTGATAATTTCACTACAGTTAATGTTAGGACATAGAAAATAAGCGATAAAGTATATTATTTTAATGAAAAAAGTTGAGAGATTATGCAAAGGAAATATGAAACCTGTAACTGAACTATTTTTATTCTTAGCATGAAAATCACTTTACACTTGGACCGACTCAGGCTTCCTAAATTCACAGACAAGTCTTTAGTTAAAATTCTTCATTAAAAAATCTGATTTTCTGTGTACAACAGACTTGTAGTATTTATTACGTACTTGCCAAAGTTTGTGAAGATACATTTAGTACATTACAAGTCATAGTGTGTACAATATCCTGGTTACAAAGTTGGTCAAGATGAACATGTCTGTACACACAAAATGAGGAGATGCACAATGTTGAAGCAGTAATGTTGATATTAATTCTGCATAACTGTCTAAATATTAAATTAAAATGTGCTAGATTTTCTCTAAAATTAACCCACTTTCTACTCTCCTTTGCCCTTCCCTCCAGACAATGGCACTGATCATGAGCTTAGCTGGGCTTGTTCGTAACCTCCAGAGATTACTCTCGTCCCTGTATTTAACCAATGACATATTAAAAATTAGCTTCCATATCTATGTTCTTAAGTTACTATCCTGTAAATATAACAAGTTGTTAAAAGTATGTTATTTCTACAGCCCTCCTTCAACATATGTCACTGCATCCACTCGTCAGTTTTATCATGGAAGAACAGAAACCTGTCGATCATGTGTTCCAGAAGTGGTGGAATTTGTGAAGTCAGTAGAAGAGAAGGCTGAGGATAAAGTAAGTAGAAATGTAATTAAGTCATTATAAGGATTGTATATCCTCTTGTCTCATAACTTGTGTATTTTACATTCTAATTACAACTTCATTGAAATCAGGGTTTACTTTCTAAAAATGAATTCTTGCTGGGAGATGAGTTAGCCATTATAAGGTCTTGCTATCGTTCATTTTCTCTCTCTCTTTTTCCTGCTGTTTATGTTATACTTAGTTTTAAATAATGTTTAAGTTCTTTCATTTTGTGTTAAATGGGTTTTTGTTTTGTTTCTTACATTTTCTTTCAATTGTATACAGTGAACCTTCATTACTTCAGACACCAACAATGTGGATGATTTTTCTTTATAATTAGAAGCTTAATCAGTAACCCATATATTTGAATTCTAAATCTGAAGAACTATTTCTTATAAAAAACATACATTTTCTGTGGATATATGATTCAGTAATCCATACTTGATTCCCCAAGAGTTGAGTAGGGATCAATCAGAATAGGAAACAAGGTGATAATTACTGACCACAAAATCCCTGACTAATTAATGAGTACCAGTTTTCAACAGTTTTTTTTTTTTTTAGAACAGCCTTGACTCACATTGGAGACCAGTTTATGGCACTTTTTCTGAGAACTTTAACTGACATTGGGTACCAGTGTATGACACTTTTTCTGAGAACTATCATAACTCACATTGGGTATCTATTTATGAAACGTTTTCTGAGAACAACCTTAACTCACATTTGGTACCACTTTATGAAACTTTTTCTGAGAATGACATAAATTCACATTTGGTATGGATTTATGAAACTTTTTTTGAGAACATCCTTAACTCACATTTGGTACAGATTTATGAAACTTTTTCTGAGAACAACCTTAACTCATATTTTTTACAGATTTATGAAACTTTTTCTGAGAACAACCTTAACTCACATTTGATACTGATTTATGAAACTTTTTTTTGAGAACAACCTTAACTCACATTTGGTACTGAGAATGACCTTCACAGTGGAGATGTATATAAAAAAATATATCCAGAGGTCATCAGGGTGATTTATGCTACAGTCATGTCAAGTGACAGTACTCAAAGCATCACTAAAACATGATGTTTGTTTATACAAGAAACCAAATCTAAGTGCAAGCCTTGATACTATCAGTATATCTTTTTAGTGTAGAAAGAAGTGTTCTTATGGGCAAATCAACCATATCTGACATTCTTCGCAGCAAAGAAAAGTATATAAGTATTCAGAAGAATCAGATCAACATACAAAATACAGACATTCAAAGCTTGCAAACATGAAGTAGGCTGTGTATCTTTGGATGCATTGTGTTACCTCAAGAAAAGCATTGAGGAAACTAATCAATTTGATCAGTGCTAGAAGCGTGATTTTCAGCAACACACAGGAACCTGTGTTTTCCCCTTATTGATACTGCCATTTCTACTGCATTTCACAAAACATCTGGCTGCTGTTTCCAACTCCATCGCTGGTTTGATTGTAAAAACAAATCTGTCACTACAAATATTTTGGGAAGTTTTCAACCTACAAATGATAGAAAAACTAAATCAAATTATATAAATTTTTTTCATCCAAAACTAGATCCTGTTCAGTAAGTTTGTTCTAAATTTTACACAATTTGATTAAGTATTTCCACTATGTGGAGGAACAGTCAGGGATATCTTTAATCTGGAAAGGGTTAAGTACCAGTTTTATGCTGTATCAGTGTACTATATAAGAATAGTCTATTACCCTCTTTTTTTTTCGTTACAGTAGTTTCCTAAAGGATATACTGAAGAAGAATACCACTTCACTGAAATGGTTTCTGATGTTTATATTAAATAGATACTTGATATTAAAAATGTATTGCTTATTCTTGCATGTTTTTATACAAAATTTTTGAATATTCCCTTTGCTTGCTTCTGTTTTTCAATACTTTCTATTTGGTTACTAGCAATAAAATTTATAAGTCAGATAGATATTTGTTTCTGAAAATTCCTTCCTTTCTTTTAGCCACCTAGGGAACAAATAAAACTGTTACGAAGGGCAGTAGAAAAGGTTGACAAATTAATGAAAGAGGCTTCTGAAAATCATGGTAAGTACTTAAACGTATATATTTATGAATGTGTAATATAGTGAATTGAACATTATAATTTCTAAAGAAACCATATAATAATACAGAGGGTTGGGTATGCTATTATTAAAACAATTTTTACTATGCAAATCAGCTACTCACATGATAGCCACATTTGATATAAAATTCCAGCGAAATGGAATCTATCAGAACCGAATTTTAATATTGTTTGATATTTCATAGGTAATTTGATATCACCAAAAATTGATTGCTTTTGGGAAGGGTATGTAACAGCCTGTTGTGACACAGACATAAAGATGTGTTCAGATCAAGGATTTATGATGTGCACGATGAAGATGTCCCCCATACATAATGGAATTGGAAAACAAAGGAATATGATTCACTTAGGGCACCAGGATCATTCAGAAAGACAGTTACAATAAGTCATACTTCAACCGTGGGAAGTAAAGTGTTAAATCTTGTAACAGGTAATAATCCAATATACAAAATAATCATAAATAATCACCTCTGCTTCCACAACGTAAACAGGAAAGTCAAAACCCAGTGTAGAAAACTGCACGAATGATACGTAACTAAGGAAAATTGGTAGTAGGTAGTACTTGATAACATTCAACAAAGCGTATATGTACCTTGATATCCGTAACAGGTCTCGTGTCGTGTTATAATCGAAATGAGGTTAAATAAATTTCCGAAAGTGATACGTGGAATATAGCATGATACTGCACCTAAGGCAAGTTAAAGATGAAGAGAGTTGATACAATGATCAAGTTGAACTGTGCTTATTATCTGACTAATATTTTGGACCATTTGCATCACACATAAATACCAGCTTTGTATATAAACAAGGTTAATAGGTTATGGAGTCACCTAGATAAGGCTTCCAGTTATACCTCCTATTCAATCATCACATACCTCAAGCAGCTAGAGAATGAAACAGCTGCTGGAAAAACTTTGTCCTCATAAACTAGATGGATTATGGAAGTTTTGCAAGGAATGGTATGCTTTGAACATGTCAGCCTGATAATGATAGAATGGAAACTACATTGCAGGGCTGTTGCCAAGGTGCTCAATTATCAAATAGAGCTAAGATTGGACATGGTGACATGGACTGTGATAACATGAAGAGACTACAAAACTGTTTTAATGTAACGTACTAACCCTTTTTACTGTTTAGTAAATTTGAAATATTACCATGAGACACTAGATATAGTACTTTGAAAATTTGATGAATAACCCTATCAGTATGGCACAGCACCTTTCATATCTTAAGTGCACACCTGCATATCAGGTTTCAAAATATAAGTAAAAGTAATAACCCTAACTGAATTTCAGCATTTTTAAACTAAAAAATACATTTAAAAATTGATATTTTATCATTTGTAATATTTGTTTAGTGTAATTTGCAAAGAAAAAAATTTTTAAATGTTCAACCTTTCATTTCTATATAGTTCCAAAAATGAGTCTCACTTGTAAATAACACACTTAAGGATTTTTCTTTATTTCATTCTATCCATTCCAGAGCTTACTAAGTTTAAGTATACTAAGAAACTATCATCCTTTGAAAGTATAATTATCTATGTCTTGTTTTTTTATGTGATTTTTATTTTTTCTAGTTTTTATTATTACAGCCTTTTATTCCTACCATTGTATGATGTCATAGGGTGTGTTCTCAACAATCACTAATCAAATACAACCTTGAAAATAACTACTGTCAAAATTTAAATATCATTAGATAAAGCAGAGTTTAACTACTTACACCAAAGTAGAGTAAATAAAATGTTGTAAACATTAATTTATGGTTTCAAGGAAAAATTGACTACATAGAGCTCCTGCTGGAATGAACAATACAAATATAATGAGAAATTTAGAAGACTTGGGAAAAAGACAATGGATCTGGGAAATTATTTTAGCTTGTTTAAACCTATAAAAATGTTTTAGCATAGTGAAGTGTGTATACACCCTATACCCACCTCTAATTTTAAACAATAACTTGCATATACTCACTTGTTTTGTCCAAGATATGTTGTCGTACACCTTTGGGAGCTCTTGTAACTGTAAGCCTAATGCTGTATAAAGTAAAACTCAATAAAGAGTCATTGCATATTGTCTCACTTTTAACTCATACAGTGGTCAACACAATTTATGAAACAATACGTGTTTTTTTTTCAAGTCTAAAGCTGTTTAAATAAAAGTTGTCGTAAATAAATTACATCTTTTATAATTATTGCAAAATATCAAAAACATAGGTATGTAAATTGGCCCTACCTCTCCCTAAGTATAAACCTGCCTTTTTTCTAGGACTACACTGGTTTAGTGAGAACAGTAGGCACCAGCAACATATCTGATGAATTAAACTATTATTGATTGAAAGTATTGTTATGTTTATGATATTTAAACAAAGCACATAAAAAATAATTTATTATTTATCAAAAATGAATTATATATATTGCAAACCATGGTGTCTGTCTGAGTGTTCATCAGTCTCTGGTTTACAGAGGCTGCTTCCCATACTGTGTTTGAAAAACTGTGTGTGCAGGCAAAGCTCAACATTTACTTTTGAAACGATGGTAGAACAGGCATGAATAACGTTGATGCCAAATTAAATTTGGCAAGCAGGATATTCTATGCTAAATTGTTAGGAATTAATCACATTATCATTCACATTTCATAATGTGATGTAACTTAAAGAATAAAAATGTAGATTTACCAGATTATATTGTTAAGTGGCTCTTAGCATGACTGAGATGCTCAACAATTACTTTTTGTGGTGGGCGGTATAAGTAGCTCAGAGCTCTGGCTCTGAGTGAACCAAGAGTGCAACACAATTAACATTTTTAAAATCCATGAAATAATTTAAATTTATAGATTAATTTAAACAATTCCTGTCACTAGGGGCAGGTACTTTTGCTAGATTAACTTAAACTTTTCCCATCATTGGGGACGGGTACTTTTGCAAGTTAAATATAACTTGATCTCAACCAAGTAAAGAACATTGTGAGCAAAAACATTATTACATAACTGACAAAGGTAATGATAAGTAACACCATTTTGAAATACCAGGTTGTAGGCCAGTGATAAATCATTATTAAATATGGCTATGTTTTCTTTGATTTATAGTTGACAGTGGTGGCTACTGGAATAAGCACAATAAAGTATCAAAGAAATATGTTAATGAATAACAATCAAGTTGAAACTAAATGGATATATAACATAGAATTTCCTTATTAGCAGGAAAAAAATATTAAACTTCAAGACAAAAGGGAACATTTCTATTTTTCAAAAGAAAGCACCACAACAAAATTTAACAACCTAAAAGAGAACTAAATCAAATTACAAAAATTCCTTTAACCCAAACTAGACACTATTTAGTAAATAGTATAGAATAGAACGTCCCAAAACTATTATAGTCTCATTGGCTGTTTAACTATGCTATGAATAAATCGTGGAACACCATGACTGTAAACAATGAAACTAAGGCTGAATACCTGCTTACATGTGCCAAAATGAGATCAACTGTATAAGGAATCTTGTAAAGAAAAAACTGCTCTTTATATTTGTTATAAATAATCCAACAGAAACAGAGACAATTAATGCAGTTTTTTGAAAGAGGGAAAAATATGTGAGGGGCATTTCATATGGGTTTGACAATCATTCTATATCTCAATAAAGCAAGAAGATAGAAGGTTCTAAGTTTATATTCTAGTTTGTCAATGTGATTCTGTCTCTCAATAAACAAGAAAGGACATTAACTTATTGTAAACAGTTCAGAGGAGGTCTACCTGGATGATTATTTGGATGAAAGTAATATCTTATGGTGATAGGTTAAGATTTTCTCTTGACGAAAGAAGGGTAAAAGGATCTTATTGAAATCGTTAAAACTTATTTGTGATATTGACAGAATGAATGCTTCTGATTTCTTTGTGATACATCATGAAGAGAATAAGAGAAGCATAAACAAGTTTAAAAAAAGAAGATAACCCTATGTCAGTGGCTGGATCAAAATGTAATTTATAATTCAAATTTTCATATTACGCACGTTTGAATTACTTAATTTCAAGAAGAAATATTTAAATAAAATTATCAATTTTTACTCTTCTGTGTAATGTGATGCTTTGTGCATAAAGTATCCATTTTAGACGTTTTTCTACCCTTATGATTTTGTGTGTCCAATTAATTACAAGCACATACTGTAGAGCCAGTATCCAGTGAAAATTATTTATTTCCTCAATGTTTCACTTTATGGCTTTAACATGACGTAGACATCCTACTGAACACAAGCCTAGCATTAACAGAAGAATCAGCTGATGTAAATCAAAAATAATGACAGTGTGTTCTTATGTCTTGTTTGACATGTGGCCTTATTATCAACAATAAAGGGGAACAGTAATAAATGTATGAAAAGAATATGAACACAGTGAAAAAAAAAAAGAAAAGCGAAACAAAAATATGAGCTATGTAAATATTCACGTATAAAAATCTACAGAGGTAAACTTCAAATGTAGTTATAAGGAATAAAGGATAAGATATTAAAACATCTGTTTATAAATCCATCATCTGAAGGTTCAACCCACTGTCCTTTTTCATCTAATTATCACAGGATGCATGCTGTTTCTCGTTATTAAACATGTTTATGCTTCAGTGTGCACTATGCTACCAGAATAACCTTTCGTAGATAAGGATATCAAAACTGTACACAATACTTTCTTCATAGTCACCCTATATACAATCAGTTTTCAACTTAGTTGGTATTCATTAACATATTTCTTTTCATACTTTATTTTGCCGATTGTAATAGTCACCGCTTCCAGCTATATATCATAAAATAACTGCAAAAACGGATAAAGATTTATCAGTGATGTACAACCTGTGACAAATCTACAATCTCAAACAAATATAATCAACATGAAAACATTTTTAGGAGCAGAAAGAACATCTAAAGAAACTAAAAAATTTCCAAGTCTGTTGTTTTTTCTAAAGTCTTTTAAACTCCCCCCAATGAATTTTATTGTTTTATGTGTAGGAGCTACCTGTAATAACTTTCCCATGGAGCCACAAAGTCCTCACACCATTTTATTCATTACATTAAGGCCCGGCATGGCCAGGTGGCTAGGGAGCTCGACTCGCAATTTGCGGGTCGGGGTTCGAATCCCCATCCTACCAAACTTGCTCGCCCTTTCAGCCGTGGGGCATTATAATGTGATTGTCAATCCCACTAGTCACTGGTAAAAGAGTAACCCAAGAGTTGGCGGTGGGTGATGATGAATAGCTGCCTTCCCTCCAGTCTTACAATGCTAAATTAGGGACAGCTAGCGCAGATAGCCTTCGTGTAGCTTTGCGCAAAATTCAAAAAACAAACAACATCATTACATTAATTTAAGCAGATTATAATATATTCTATCCAGTGGTATCCAAACTTTGTCTGTAGCTATTTTCAAGGCTGAGCTACAATTAATAGTTGTTCTGATCACATGCTTTGAGGACTTAAAAAAAGGTGTAAACAAAACACTGTATTAAGAAAAAATCATGAAAATAATGTTATCAAGAGATTATAGCTTCTTGGCAAGTAAAATCCTATACTTTGGGATGGCCAGAAAAATTGTAAAAAAAATGTATAAGCACACTGTTTATAGATGAGACTCAGAATTATAGAGAAATGTAAGTTTGAACTTTTTTGTGTGTGTCAATTAAACTAAACAAATGTTACAGGATGACAAAATATCTATTATAAAATTATTTGTATAGAAAATTGTTAAAATATAGTTAGAGGTATTATTTTTTTCCTTAACTTTTTGAGTTTGATATGCAGGTTTGTATTCGACATCTGAAAGGTACTCACTAGTTTAGATACAGTTTGTTTTGTTTCTTCACAATGCAGTAATTGCCATATTTGTGATTAGCTACTCCTACTTTTTTTTGAAATAACGTCTTTTGTGTTATTTTGATTTCAACACTGTGTTTTGTCTCTTTCATTTCACTTGTAACAAGTCACTACAACTGTCCTTCTGCCTATTGGATTCACAGATCTCTTGGTTCTGCAGAGATGAGGTGACTGTGAGCTGGGTTTATCCTTGAATTACCATGTTCTTTTGTGTATCACCTAACCTAAAACTTTTGAAAACCTAAGTACACCAAGTCTGTACCATTCCCATCATCTGGATAACACACATCCTTCAGAAACAAAGTTAAATTAATTAGTAAGGGAAAATTTAGTGAATCCATTATCATGCACATTTGTGTATTATTGTGCTTATATTGGATTAACATATCCCAATATATATATATATATTATTTTTTTTGCTACCCTAATTAGCATGCAATAGGGTATATTACTGTACATATATAGGGTATATTGTGACTGATTCAATGTGTATTAGAGTATATAATTATCTTTAGTCTATGATTAATATGTAGTAGGATAATTATTGAAGTTAGAGTGTAATTAACATATGCTAGGATATATTATTGTGTTGAGATCGTAATTAACACATAGTAGGTATGTTTTCTTTACATTGTAACTAACATTCACCAGGATATGTAATTCTGTTGAGACTGTGATTAATATATAGTAGGGTATGTTACTGTGATTAACGTGTACTGGGGTAAATTAGTATATTAAGATTGTTATTAACACGTACAGATATATATATTATGTTTATATACATCATGATTAATGTGAACTAGGATTTATTATTGGGTTGCACCAGGGTTCATTATTTTGTATGTTGTGATATGATATTATAGTGTTTTTTATCTTCGTCTTGCTTGCTGCAGGTTGTGACAGACATTTGTTAGGTCTCTACATGATTTCATTAGAAGAAGGTTTCCAAACTCCTGACATTTTCACTGATCTTTCTTGGACCAAAAGGTTAGTCACTATTCTCCTTTATACCTGTGGAACCTGGGATGGTGGGATTGTCCTATGAGGAGAGACTAGAATCTCTAAACTTGTTTTCTCTGGACTCAGAGGGGATTTGATTGAAGTGTTTAAGATTATTAAGGGTATTGATAATATATATCCATCAAACTTTTTTGGTTAAACTGGGAAACAATAGGACAAGGGGTCATAAATTCAAATTTTTCAGCGTAGGAGTCATCTGCAGTTTAGACAGTATTACTTTTCAAACAGAGTGGTTAGATTTTGGAAAGAGCTGCCTTCAAGGGTGGTGGAGGCAGAAAATTTAACTAAGTTCAAGAAATGATTGGATGAATACATGAATAGTAAGGGGTGGTTATAGTTGGGAGCTGGAAGGGACATCCTTGATGGGCTAATAAGCTCCTTTTTGTCCCTTTAAAATTTTATGAATATAATCTTTGTTATAAAATGTATGCTTGCTTATATCCTTGCCACATTATGAATCTGAAATATTACATAGGCCTGCGATGGTTTTATTGTTTTGAAATGTTTACCTGTTTTACTGTAATTCCTGTACAATGAATCCGAAAATGATATCCATTTTTCTTCATCACATACAGATTTTTCACAAAACATCATAATGCAATACATAAAAGAAAGACCACAACACATGGTTTTAAGACTAAAAGATGTAGATTTCACAAAAAAAAAACAAGTTGAAGGATGATGCATATTCGTTTGATATCAGTGTTCTTCCTTTTTTCAGTTTGTTTGTATTTTTGTTAACAAACATAATTATTAAAAAATGTTCATTGTGGTAAATGAAATAATAATTTGGTCTAAGTAAGACGTTTTTTTTCTTCATGATTTGTAAAATATCCTTACATGATAGAAACAAATGAATATTATTTTCGAAGTCTGCGAAGCTGAATTATGGAAAATCCTTTATTAAAACCAAAACAACTTTTATGAGGTTTAAATTCACAGGCCTGTGTTAATCAGTATCTTGTATCTTACCTACATAAGCTTCAAAGAGTTATTTAATCAAGTAACTGAAATGTTTGTCAACCGTTAAATACTATGAATCTCTAAGTTTATAAGTTTGTAATTTCGAATCTGTTGTGCTAACATAGTAATTATGGAAATAAATATCTTGTGCAAAGGTTCAAATATTTTTTTCCTTAAATAATCATGAAGAATATACAAGTGATCCCAGGAGTTTTTTTTTTTAAATCTGTTAAACATGTTGTTGGTGTGAACGTGCTTTGAATTCAATATGAGAAAAACCTATACACTGGATAGGTGAAGTGAAGGAAAAGTGTCACTGGCCTTTCTCATAGTGAATACAAAGTATGTTCACACCAATAATATGTTTGATACTATTTCACTATGATATAGGTCTAACTTGTTTCTCTTTGGTTAACTGGTGTTCAGGGTTACTGATTAGGAGTGGAATTCTCCGAAACTAGTATGATCCCATAACACCATTGATCAAAGTAGATTGAACTGGACATCCCTTGAACTTAGACTTCAAGATTAAACAGCTTTCGGAATACTAAGTTTATTTATTATTCAGTTCTGTTGTTTATATTTGTGTCAACTTACAGCTCATTATTATATGGGGAATAAAATAATTGTGTTAGTCACTCTGATACTTTATGATTTTGTTTTCAGTTATTTTATTTTTTAACACAAATGATTAAACTGCCTTACATTTCTAACTTGAAAATGAAATAGCCAAGATTAGTAATACTATGGTTATATATATATATTTTAGTGGTGGGGGAGGAAATTTTATCTTGTCCACTAGCTGTGTTGGTTACACCCCAGTATGTGGCTGTGTGATGCCAATGCATGAAGATGGTTATGGTGTATTCTACAGTATTGAAAATCACAGGTAAGAGATGTTTTAAAATTCAATAACCAGTGGCTCTAGAATACATTTAAAGATATTATACTTGATACAAAATTAGAGCTACTTGTACAAGGTTGCAGGTTTACACATAGTTTAATGTTTATCCTCTTAATTTTATTATTAAGTAAGGTAGTACTTAACAGTAGGAATTATGATGAAAGAAAATGGTGGCCATAAAAACTGCCCAACTAAAATTAAAATGCCTGAATATTGACACTGACTATTTTACAGTATTGGTTGAGCAAAACTAAAACTTATTGTATTTATAAAGCTGTCTAAATCGCTATATACGTGTTTATGGAGTGAATCAATATGTCACTATTTCAACGAATTTTAATCTTAGTATATATATATATAAACTTAAATTTCTGTTGCCTGTATGGGGGGGGGGGGCAGTTTCTGTTAATCCTAACCATTTTATTCCCCACCTAGTATTCTAGCTTTGTCTTACCATATCAACCCTCCTACAGAAATGTCTGACTTACACCTCTTTTCTTAGGTGTCACCTATATCTAGGTGATTTTCATGGAAAAACCCCTTCTTTCTTCCCTCCATGTTGGGGCGTTTGCCATCTTCAGTTTTTTCTCTCCACACGTGACTTCTTTGCTTTTGAGATTTTCTAGGATAGGACACTGCCTTGTATCATTTGTTTATCATCTACTTCTAATAGGGACTTATTACAGTTGGCTCTTTTTCTCCACTGGTCCCTTTTAGGGGTTACTCATGTGCACTTAGCATCATGTAGGGTATCTATGATTCTATATTCTTTTTGGGAAGGGGTGCTCTTTTGTCGCATTCTAAGTCATTGCCATCTTTATACATGTTCCTTATGCTGATTGGAGTTCTGGATCAATCAGCTGCCTGGGGTCTGTTTAGGGGCCCAGCAGTTGGATATTCCAAAGCTCACTAGAAATGCATACTACTTAATGAGCTAAAATGGCTACTGCTTTCTCATGGATTCATGAAGAAATTTATCACCTAAATTGCTTTTATGAAAAATCAGCAAGAGCTAATAAATAGGATGAGGGGGGGGGCAATGCTATTACTGACCCCAGGGCCTGGGTTGGCTCTCAATTCCTCTGTCGATCAGTCCCATCTCAATCACTTCTTGGTTCTTCCCTATTTTAATATGTACTCTTAGGTCACAATGGGTGGGCAATTTCTGCAGGACTGTGAATGTCCATGGTATACGTTCTAATTTTTCATTTCTGCGGATGCTATCTTAGGTTTTTTTCACCACATGATTCAGTACCAGTTTCCTGCTTTGCCCTTCGGTCTTCTTTTGGTTTCATATGTCTTTTGTCAGGTGGTCTGTGTTTTATCTACTTCCACATTTTTGGGAATTTACTAACACCACTACTTGGACGTCTGGCTTTGGTTAGCTCCTTCCGAATGAGGGTGGTCATAACATATTCATCAGCTTCTTACACAAGGGTTCGGGTGGTTGGATTTTCCAGGTGGATAAGTTTTCCTATTACCTACCTAACAATCTCGGCTATTTGGAGAATGGCTTTTTAATCACCAACCTCCATCAGGTCCATCTTTACTCTTCCTCAAATGCATTCAATGGAGATTTCTGTTATGGATGCCATTATGATGCACTATATTACAGTTAGCGATGTTTTAACACATTGGGAGATGTGGTTTCTATGGCAGCACTTCTCCATTTGGGTCTTCAATCTGTTCAGGACATGCTTCACAACCCATGGTCTCTTACTAGAGTTCCTTTGGATTCTCCTCTTAACTTTCCCTCTTTGATGACTATATGCATTGGTGGTTTGTTCTGGATTGATTTTACTAACCTACACTTTGGGGGCTCATGTGGAATATTCTTTTCATCATTTTCATTTCTTGCCATCTTCCACCTTTATTCTCAGGCAGATCTGAATGAACTTCTCTGTCCCATACATTGGGTTGCTTTCAAGGCTTCTTTTCAGTGACTCCTTTTCCTACAGTTTCTTTCCCTAGCACCATTCCTCTTGTTCGTGATTTTTTTCCCCTCCTCTCATAACCGTTGGGTTTGGCTTGATATTCAGTTAGCCTTTTATTCCTTGTCTCCTTCTTTCTGTAATCAATTCCTGGTGTCTTCACTCCATTCAGGCACCTTACCTTTTACCTGCATCTTAACCCTGTCGAACACTGGGAGTACACCTCATACATTCATCCCCCATTATCTGCTTTGGATAGCTATTTCTTCCATGTCGTTGCACTGTCTTCCACCAGTTTCCATACTTCACTCTTTAGTGAGACTGTAACTGTTATTTATATATATATATATATATATATATTATTTTTCAGGGACCTGTCCCATATTTTGACCAGGATCCTGCTCTGTGGTGAGTGGTGCTTGTCCAGGTATACTTCAGTCACTTAGAAATGTACTAAAACCTGCATTGTATGACCATGTTGACTTCACTTTCATAATTTCTATGGCCACAAAATGCACACTGTTCATTACACCCACATAAACCAGAGATAGGGTGTTCCACAAGATCACGCATAGGCTTTTCCTCGCAATATTTTTGCTGCTTAAACATGTCCATTCTGGACTTTACTAACCAATGGACTTCATGGGTAAAGCAGAAAAGGATTGCTGCCCATCCCTGCCATTCCTTAGATTGAATATATCAGGTTTGATCTGCTTTTCAAAATAGGGTTTCGTGCTCACCCATTGATCTGTCTCCGGTGTGAATGTTCCTCTGGACTTTCCACTGCATTTGCCCCCTCCCTACCTTATGTCTTCCAGTGGAGTAAAAGAGTCCTTATCACTTTCCAGTTTCAAGCTGCTGGGGTGGTGGACTATGGAAGTTTCATCCTGAATGACAGATATATAATATAAATGATAAAGACTCCATTCAGTTGAGAGTAGGGTTGTGGTGTTATGCTGGTGTAGATGATGAGATGGCCTCCAAATGGACACTCCATTTCTGCATGAGTTTGTCCAAGGAGATTTTGTAGCTTTGGAGTACACCATCATAATGATTAGGATCCTTCATCCTACCCCCGCATGGAAGTCAGTTCCTGGCAGTTGAATTTTGGATTTAGAACTGAACTAATCAACACGATGTACTCACACAAGTAGTGTGCCGATATACATGCAGTTCACCCCTTTGATTGGGATCTCTCATCCTACCCCCGCATGGAAGTCAGTTCCTGGCAGTTGAATTTTGGATTTAGAACTGAACTAATCAACATGATGTACTCACACAAGTAGTGTGCTGATATACATGCAGTTCACCCCTTTGATTGGGATCCCTCATCCTACCCCCCACATGGATGTTGGTTCCCAGCCGTTGTGTTTTGGATTTAGAGCTAAACCAATCAACATAAGTCCTCACACATGTGTTCAGGGTGTCTCTGATCCCTCACTCTTTTCACTCAATTGTACTATCCCAATGTTGTGGGTCACAGTGGGTGCACTTGTTGGTTGCTCTGCTTCTTCCTCTTGCACTACCCATCAATGTATTTATGCCGAGGATGATACTGCATTTGAGATGGTTCCAGTCTGTTTGATTTGAGTGGGATGTATATGTAGTCATTTCACTCTGCTTACATGTGCCCTGTTCACAGATCAGTGGTGGGATTTCTCTCTCTGGTATGCTGAACCTGAGGTGAAGATGATATGATCCTCTTTTCCTACCCCGGCAAGGATGTCAGTTCCAAGCAGTTGAGTTTTGGATTGTAGTTGATTTACTGATGGTACGATCCGCGTTCTACCCCCACATAGTTCCCAGTGGTCAAGCTTTGGACACAGTGGACTTGCCATATACAGTCTGTCATGACCTAGCCTCTCTACACCTTGGGGCACATCCCTCATTTTACCCACATTCTGTTCATCAGGGAGATCGAAATAATAATATATTGTGGTTAGGATTACTGTCCAACTGGATTTTCTCGTATTGGGATGTGCTCCTCACAATTTTCCACCCAGATCTGTCACACCCTTTTCATATCTGGGTGACAATTATACCTGGTACAGAAGTGGTGCAGTCTCCCACATATAATCCTCTTATTAGAGGGTTCTCTCATTAGGATGTCCTTCTACTTTCTCCCTTGCACCGGTCCCTCCACGTATTCAATCTGGGATTCTAGCTATGTATATTAGCGGAAGTAAGGTACCTTGTTGGAAGTTATAATTTTCCTACACTGAAAATGTATTTCCGACAGGTACTTATTTCCACTCACACTTCCCATCCTTTCTCCCCACTGTCAACTGGTGCTAACATTTCTGCCTAAACTCAAAGTGATATAGTTGGGTAGACTAGCATAGAGGGAGTCACATGGGTGTGTGACACTACTACTGGTGAAGGTTTGTCGCATGATAATTTGCATGTGAGAATCAGTTAAACCATGTGAATCAAGGGGTGCAAATAGGGTGCAGCACTGAATGAGAATAGCTTTGTATGTGAGTGGAAGTAAGTACCTGTCAGAAATACATTTTCAGTGTAGGAGTATTATAACGTATATATGTCTGTGTCTCAAAATATCTAAACAAACTGTTTTAAAACTGTATATGAATAGAATTTCTTTTAAAGAAGTGTCTAATACTCTTATGTGTGTGCATGAAATGTGCATGCAAGTAACAAATGTATGTACATTTAAGCTAAGTTACAAAAACATCAGTATATTTAATAAAATGTGTGTTAATACAGGTTACAATTTCATCTATGCTAAGATATATAGTGTAGACCATTATAAATTCATCAGTATATATAAAATGTGATTAATACAAGTTCCAAATACATTAATGTTCACAAATTTTTGTCAGTGCAACTTAGAGACACATCATTATTAACAAAATGTTAATGGTATAAGTTACAAATACATTAATGTTCACAAGTTTTTGTCAGTGCAAATTACAGACACATCACTGATAACAAAGTGTTATTGGTGCAAGTTACAAACTCTTCAGTGCTAACAAAATATTGATATTTTATTATATAATGAAATTCTGGCTAGATTAAAGGTATTTCCATTTTTTTAGTTGTCAGTTAACATTGAATTAATTATATTGATTAGAAAATAATGGTAAGTTTTGAGTTTGTTGTATGGTAAATTATTTATGAGCTAAATTGTGAGATTTATTGTACAGGTATAAATGGTGTTTTGTTGTTTACAAAATTATCAATACTGTGTTTTTAATATAATTCCAGGATGACTGTTATTACAACTACCTTCAAGCATTCTGGAAAGACTGATCCCATTAAACTTTTTTACAGCCTTGAGAATTCCTTAGATGATATACAACGTCTTATGACAAAGACAGCAAAGTTGTGAAATGAATGACTATGTTGTTTATGTATTATTTCGGGTTGTCAGTAGATGCTTCAGTCAGAACAGATGTTTGAAATATATATACATTGTAGCTAAGTATATTATGATATTTTTATGATTGGGCAACATTAGTTTCATATTGTATTTTATTTTTTTATTATAATAATACTAATTCAGTTTTTATGAAAGCATAGTTGCAAAAAAAAAAAGTTTTATGCACAAATTGTATAACAAGGTAGTTGTGCTTTGGTCTATTAACTAGGACTGCATTTAGAGTAAAATGTGCCTATGACCACTCCCTTCAAAATGTTTACCAAGTCGTTGTCGCAAGTCATTTTTACAGTTTATGACTAGACAGATTTTAGTCATGTTAAACATTGTTAAGAATGACCTAATTCTTCTTATTGTTATAAAAATCGAACAATAATTTTACTTGACCCACAGCCACATTCTCTTTTTGTAATATGAAACCCACCTATTTCTACATATCGTTGTCTCTTTCTGTCTCCCTACAACACACAGAGGAAGAAATTTTAGAGCCTGAAGTGTGGACTTTGTAAGCCAATTAGTAAAGGTGGTTTTGCTCTTAATGTGATTTCAATTTTTATAAATGAGAAGTTGCAACTTAGCAAGAAATAAGATATAATTAGTTAGATGTGACTCAAGAAATACCAGAAATTAATGGGTGAACCCCTTTTTCCTTTTTTTTTTGTTGGTTCTTTTGCATGTTGATGTGCCAGTATTTAACTATATTTATAAAATAATATATTCGAAGGTACATTGTAACTACCTTATTGTAGTCATCTTCATGATGAATTTTTTATATGATTGTAATGACTAACTTGTTGAAAAAAAAGACCATTAGTTGCTCTTATGAGATCCAGTGACATAGCCAGATGGGAAATTTTGGGTGGGCTAGGAGATACAATGTACAGACAGAAGGTGTACAAACCCTTGGAGACAAGTTACAGGGAGCTATAAAAAGAGGACAACAAATGACATGTTCAGATGTCGGACCCATCAAGCAGACTTTGATTGCATGGGTCTTAGTGCAGAGCGGGTTTGCCACAGGTGAGGTTATGTACATGGTAGTTCTACTTGATTTGTTGAGTTTGGTTGTCAGAATTAAGTCATGTTCAGATGTCGGACCCATCAAGCATACTTTGATTGCATGGGTCTTAATGCAGAGTGGGTTTGCTACAGGTGAAGTTATGTACATGGTAGTTCTACTTAATTTGTTGAGTTTGGTTGTCAGAATTAAGTTCTGGTCACAGATATTTGAAATAGTGACTTGTATGATTGTAAGCCATGTAGGTACAATAGATGTACTTTTTTAAGAATTGATCAAACACTGTGGGTCTCTTCACTTTAGGGTCTAAGCACCTTTTGAAATCCAATTTTCTGTGTTAGTGGTTAAACAAGATGTAATTTTTTAGTGATTAACATGTTTAGACAAAGTATTTCTGTTTGAATGATTAAAAACAGTTGAGATCTCTTACCAGACTACAACTCTTCATAATATGCATTGTGCAAATTATAGAATTTTTACAGGCAGCAACTGATGGATGTCAAATGAATCTACAGCCTCATCGGGCAAAAAAAAAATCATCAACGTTTAACATTGGTAGTGTTTGTTGAATACAATGGGTTGTAATGTAAATTTAGATTGTCATCCTTCATTTACAGCATTTTATACCAAATTATCATTCCAGCTAAAAGGAACACGTGATTAAAGGGCAACTGATCTCTTTGTTTTAAAGTATTCATAAACAACATGATAGGTATTGTGGTGAAACCTTATGGTTATGGTTATAAACAATGAAGATCATATATTATCATATTGCTTAATTTGTAATAAAAAAATACTGCATCTATATCTGCTTTTTTGGGGAATTTTGTTTCAGAAGATAAAGTTTCAAACATTACTATTTGGGATGGAGCTTGAGGGAAGTAATGTAGTTGAATAAATCAGTCAAATGTTTCTCAATTCAATCGAGGCAGTTCTTAGAATTTATTGAATTTTTTCTACCTTCAAATTTAAAAATATCCAAAATAAGTTCTGAATTTTGGATCTCATTGTGGTGATATCGTAGGAAGCTTGAAACTGTAGATAATTAAAAATTTATTTTAATTAGATCAAATAGCGATTATAACTTTTACTAGACTAAGGATAGCAGTTCTTATTTTGCTGCATCCAACACTAATAAAGTCCGCAGATTGCAATGCTTCTAAATAACAAAAACTTGGACTTCAACTTTATACTATATGATTAAAATTTCAAGTACAAGACGCGGCATGATGCTCAACTCCTTTGGCTTCAAATATTCAACTGTGGTAGGCTTAAATATCATTGAAAATTAAAAGAAACTAGCCATTTTTGCAGGATATATAAAAAAAAACAGTAAAGTTCAGCAAAAACATAGCTTTTAATATCAGATTTTTTTTCACGTATAACAAACCAAATATTTTTTCCCTTCCTTACTTGTATTATCATTCATTAAGACATTTTTAAACATTTTATGTCACATCACTTAATGTACAGGTTTCACTTCACTAATTAAAGACACACTTTTTTATCTTGTAACAGTCTACCTAGTATAGTTTTTAAAAATTTTGCTGCCTTTCTTTGTTTTCAGATGTATAGGTGGGATATAAAGTGCATGCTAATATTATTAAAATTGTAATATCACAATTTATGGGCTGTCATGGAAAGGATGTTTACTAATGGTTAAGAAGTTTGTCTTGTATGTTGTAGTTAGGCAGGTGCATAAATTTATAAACATTTTAAAACAATTTAAAAACTAGTCAGACCATCATTTTTTTTAAATTGAACATTTCCACAAATTAATTTAAAAACACAACTGTTTATGATAACGTTGTAGTAGCTACACTCATTTTAAACTGAATGGAGGAACTGATTATGTATTGAAATATTTGTGTTGTAAATAAAAAGTTCATAATTTTGCCAGTGATACAGTCAGCTATAAATATTAAAGGAAAATGCTTGGAAGGTGATTGAAAAATGGTAACCTGGTAGTAATTTTGAAGTAATTATTTGTCTTTATTTGCAAGATTGAGATTTTATCAAAGGTTGTGAAATATATATATTAGCAGGAGTAGACCAAAGAATGGACTGAAGTTTTAGGGTTAATTAAATAAATTTAAAAATAACACAACTATATGTGTATATATTGGACTTTTTATTTTATTTACGTTCTAGAAATGTAAAATTGGTCAAATAAAATGTTTGATTTTAAATATTTGTGACTTGCATAAAATGTGCATCATTTCTTGCCTGTTCACTCACCTGACCTAAAATATAGGGTGTCCCAGAAGTCTGGACCCATAGGGAAAAATACATAATTTATTCTTTATTTATTTATTATTCAAATTACATGCCATTAACAGCCATACACATATCAGTTCTTGGTATACTGTGCAATCAGGGTATTTTCTAACCTGAAATATGTACAACTGACATTAGAAATGTGTTTGCTTAACTTTTAGAATGTAATGTCTATTTTCCCTCCGAGTCCAAATCTCTGGGACACCCTGTATATTGAACTTCTGGTGTGCCCTCTTATGTATCAAAAAACTTGATAAAAACAACTGATTTTCATTACAACCAAAGGGGAAAAATGTGTTTATTTAATATTAAAAAAAAAGATTGTACACAATTAACTGTCATAAGACACATGTGTAAATGTTTTTCAGTCTTATCATTGCATGGCCAGATGGTTAGGGAGCTCGACTCGCAATCTGCGGGTTCGAATCCCCGTCCCGCCGAACATGTTCATCCGTGGGGGGCGATATAATATTACGGTCAATCCCACTATTCGTTGGTAAAAGAGTAGCGTTAGGTAGTGATGATTAGCTGCCTTCCCTCTAGTCTTTCACTGCTAAATTAGGGACGGCTAGCGCAGGGAGCACTCGTGTAGCTTTGCCCTAAATTCATAATAAACAAACAAAAACTTATCATTTCACACTTTGAACGAATATTCGAGTTACCTACTTGTTTCAACATTAGGCAACAGAAGGAATTTATGGTTAGTACTGAATTGTTTAGATTATATGATAATTTTAATTCCTGTGATTGGGTAAATACTGTACATAATTATTTTATGCGACTACTTTTGACGAAAATACCAGACTGAGCAATGGTAATTAACTCTCACAAAAGCTTTCGTTATCATAAAAGAATGGTTGAAAGTTGTAATGTATGAGAAACTGGTGTCAAAGAAAGTTTGAACTAAGCTTATGTATGTTTTTATGTCTACACTTTAGTGGTACACAATATCTTTGGATTAAGGAACGTACGTATACCAGAATGAATACCGTTTAAAACTAGTGTTAACATTTGTTAGAAAACGCAAGGTGGAGATACACCGTGGATTTATTGTTTGTTGATTAACGAACATTTACGTAATCATGATTGCTGATGCAAGTTATAGTAATCCTAAAACAATTTCTACATTTACTAACCAACAGTTACGTGAACTGATTTTGCTACTTGCTAACCCGTAATGAACAATGTTTATCAGAAACCGCTTTAAATTAATGATCTTAACGCCACGAAACTTTATCACAGGTAAGTATTAATGGTACAAGTTCACATTTTCGAACTGTTAATATTTACACTAGTTGCTAAGATGGAAAACTTTCGAAACGGCGTCCTCTACACTTGTGTCTCTACAGCAGACAGTTGCTGTCCATTCTACTGAGTTTCATCATGAATACCATACCTAAACAATCTATCAAAGAATCTCTATACTTTACTGATCACGCTGGCAACGAGCCCCCCGGTGGCTCAGCGGTAAGTCTGGGGGCTTATATCGCTAAAAGTAGGTTTCGGTACCCGTGTTGGGCACAGGAGAGATAGCCCATTATTTAGCTTTGTATTTAACAAGAACGAACACACTCGCCATGAAAACACTCCATATAAATAAAACACCTCGCAACTTTGCATTTGCACCGTAAATTAAAGGTGCTGTTTGTAATGTATAATGCACTAATACCTTGTATACATCCAAAGTAAAATACTTTGCATTTGCACCGTAAATTAAAGGTGCTGTTTGTAATGTATGATGCAATAATACCTTGTATATATCCAATATATTATTTAATTAAACAAAGTTATAATAGTGCATGTAATTTTCACATTGTCTGTGAAATAAGGCAAGAATTCATGCGATATTTTGTTTCGTGTGTTATGTTCTATTAGTAGTTCATTCGATAATTTGCTCACAGAGGAAGCCGAACGTGTTACTAGTCAGGTTAAAAAATGAGTTCCGGAGTTAGACTGTTCGAAACGATGGCGTTTTCACGGTTTCTTTTACTCACGTATCGGATGTTCTAATAAATTCTGCATTTAAATCACTTAAATTATCATTTAATGCTCCCAGCAGGGATCGGGAAGGTCATGCGTATTACCTGAGACAATAATGCAAAATAACACAAATAACAAGTTTAGGTGGGTACTAGTATAGGGTGAGTCTTTTATAACATTTATTGTGTGTGTATATATGCAAGTTTATGTGGGTATAGGGTGAGTCTTTTATAACATTTATTGTGTTTATATATGCAAGTTTATGTGGGTACTAGTATAGGGTGAGTCTTTTATAACATTTATTGTGTGTATATAT